CACATTTTTATAAAAAAAAAATCGTATACAAATCCTATAGTAATCACCAAAATAGCACAGCGACGCTTAGCAATATCAACTACAAATTTTAAAATACTTATTTATATATTGTATTTTGTGTTTTTATGAGCATTTCTATCTAMAAGTGTTATGGGGTTTAATTTTTCATTAAAAAATCAGCGCGAAAGTGAGCTTAAAGCGAAATCGAAATTAATTTATCTTATTTAATTATAAAAAGCAGGTTTGACAACAAAAGCGCAGGCATCATCAGCGAACARTGCACATGAGAATTCAAGTGAAAAATGTCTTTGCGGTTGCTGTGAACGAAATGATTAAAGCAAACACTTATTTTCAACAAAAAATACTTGGAAAATTATGAATAAACGATTTAAAACTAAACAATAAATTACCGCTAAGTACAACAATTGCTATTATAAGCTATTATAAGTGAAAAATCACGAATCAAATCAAACATACCGACAAATAACGGCGTACAACCAACAAGTGAACACGTCGCCGTGAAGCGCAGAAAAATACAACAACTTGCGAATAACAACAATAGCGCAGCAGYAGCATAAATATTAACAACTAAAACAATAATAATAATCAACAAGCAAGTGATCGGACAAGCAGTTCGAATGTAAAGTAATATAATATATAAAAAAAAACACAATACCAAGAAAAAAGTAGCAGAAAACAATCTTGTTTTATCAGCCGCCACACACCGCACCGCGCCACCTGCGCGTCCACCTACCGCGTGCTRCGCGTAAACGCCAAATACCGCATTGAAACACATCAGTACCTAACAAAGCGCGTACACACACACACACACACGCGCATTCAAACCTCCATACATAACACAAACATCAACACTAGAGCACAGCGCGCTCCAGCCCGCCGCATATCAACGGCTGGACGCCTCGCGCCGCGCCGCGCTCCGTGTCACTCAGTCGGCGTCTTGTCGTGTTGTCGCTTAACATTTGATTCTTATATTTACTAAATACATTATTGCTCGCGCTAAGGTTTGYTTCACTTCTTAACAGTGTACGTGTGTTTTCGCGCGCGCACACACACAAACATACGCACGCCGCATTTTTTGCACGTTTTGCCTTTTGACGCCGTTTGTGTCGCCAAGCGTTGGTGTGGAAAAAAGCGCGCGCGCCAATTTGTGAAGAAAAAAAACTGTTAGAAAATTAAAGACGGAAAAGAAGGAGAGCACACAACGGAATTTCAATATTTAACTACCAGCATAAAACAAACTTATCGTAACAACAGTTGTCATCGCCGTAAAAGTAACACTTCTAAGAATATTCATATTTAAATTGTACCAGTGCTTTTGAAGTCGAAGGCTTCCATGTGAGTATTGTTGTGTGACTATTCGTTAGCATATTAACAGCTTTGGCAGTCATCACCCCGCTTTTGCTTTTTCACCCACGCATCATTAATTTGAATAGCCGCGCGTCTAATTTGTTAGTTGTTCTTAGTGAAATGTGTTTTCCTAATTGCTCAGTAAAGCTGTCAATCGCTTTATGACTCAGTCGCCCTACAGATATTTTTTCAGAAAAYGTGATCCACAATTCCAGGCTTATTCCAAAGATTCGATTTTTTTATTCTCTTAAATAATTTGCCTTGAAAAGTGCTAATMGTCGAAATCAACAAACGGCGAAAATTAGGAGAAAATAAAAATCGATAAGAAGATATCAAAGTTAGATAACTCGGAAAAAGACTGGCTAATAATGGTGATGAAGCTCAGCAGCTGGTCGAGAGCCACGCCCAAGAGAAGCTGTAGCAGAATGTTGAAGTTGTGTGATAAAAGAGTGATGCGATAGAATACTTTGCGGGGAGTTCATTATGTACGTACCATACACCCCACGAAAACGTTTCCGACTCAAAATCTGCTTAGAAATTCAAGCGGCGCTCTTGGTATTAATATATCTTTACACCATTGCCAAAAAAAATCGGAAAATAGGCAGCAAAGATGCGTTCGCTGAAAGATCTGTCGAGTTGTTTCAACTTTTATGCATGGATTCTTTATTCATAGTCTGTCATAGGGGTTKTTTTGAGTCACCTCGATTGTTCTTATTGCCAATCCAGTCCTCTCCCTTATAGTACCCATATGACTGGAAATAATGTTGAAACATAAGATAACCTCACCGTCGCAATACATCCCGATTTTGCAAAATAGATTCAAAGATTCATGACAGTTTTAGAATATTCGGAAGCAACAAGGGTTTCTGACCAGCGCTAACAAAAATTGTTCAACCATAACGGGTGTAGTTACACTAATACGGAAAAAAGGCATGTGTCTAACAATGTCCTACAAGTCAAAACTGGAATAAAATATCTAAAGTGGTTGGTTGAGATACTTTTTAAAATAAATGGATAGCTGCAATAACAAACCACAAAACCAAATAAATAAAGAAGCTTTACATATTAGTAACGGGAAGAATGTTTGGAAATTACGGTTTTAGGTTCATACTGTGTGAACTCGTTGTTTTGTATCAAATCTTATCAAGTTTTAATGGCGCACTCAGTGAAATATTGCTGCGGAAATTCCCCCACCTCTGATAGCTTGCATTACTCATGAAAGTCCCCCATTTTTCAGCAATTGTACTTTTGTTTAGAATTTATAATTTAATGCTTTTGAAATGCAATGAAAAATAAAGTATCCACAGGAGAGTGAAAATTGTATTATACATCGCTTCAACGGAGTTTTACTAGTTGCAATTCGAAAAAAATAAGCAGATATATCCGACTGATCTCTAGTCTAGAAGACTTGTGGAAAGTCAGTATCATCACCGCACAATGAAATAAAGCGCTTTATGTTTTAAAAACTTTGGAAAACCTGGTGGAAATAATATAGAAAGATTTTCCTTGAAAGCTCAATTTTTCAGACCAAGTACATTTTCACTTCGGACTATGTTAGCAAACATGAACATTGAACATTCGGAAGTTATCTCGTTATCAGACCAGTAAAAGACTAGTGCCGATTTCCAAACAGTGGCATTATTGGTCCATTTTTTTGCTAAAAATACGAATTTTGGTTGGGGAGGAATCGTAAATTTCTGAAAATTTTTGGGCTGGAAATAAAAGAAATGTATTTGTGTTGATGGTTCGACGTCGCGTTGCACAATAATAGATACATATATTCCCGCGCAATGTGAAGCTTTTTGAGCGGCTTTATGTGAGCCGTAGTTATACGTACAAGCTATTTACTTTCCGATCCTTCAGTTTATGTAAACCTGATTAATTTTTACTATTGCGAAACCAACCGAAGATGCCCACAAAAATGTCCACCTTATTCTTTCGCTTTATTAAATAGAAGCGAAACAAACATATGAAACACCCTGTTTGCATTGAGGTACTTAAACACATTTTTATTTGTGTAATCAGCAAAAGCCATTTTACAATAACAAAATTAGAAGAGTTTATATGATTTCTTACACACCGTTCGCCATCCACAATCCACCAACCGYCTTCACCCCTTCTCTTTTCATTATCAAGTCGGCACGAGTGAGTGAGTTCGCTAAAAGAAATGCGCTTATTTTTACYCAAATCCATCTATCAAATAGCAAGTMTATCTAAATTTAGCAAACTCGCTTGTGGCAAAAACTAAAATTGGCTTCTCGCCGATTTGTTTATCACTTAACTCCCCGCATGCATACGTACGCACACACGCTGACGTGCAGGTACAACGCAACAGCATTGGCAAAATCGTACCGTGAGCGTTACGCTGCTCCGCTCGGCTCGACGCCCGCCGTTGATCTTTCGACAAAGTGTTGTATCGCGTTTGCGCGCCCCCTCGTGTTTATTTAAATGAAATTGCTTTACACTGATAATGTTGCTCTTGTTGTTATTGCTATCGTTGTTATTAACTTTTTTTTCGAAATATGCCGTTGTTGTTATTGCAGTTGTTCCATATTTGCTATTTGACTGCACGCTTTGGCACAGCAACTGAAAAGCTTCGGTTGCTAATAAAAATGGATTAATTAAAAACTGACGACCGAAACGCCACAAGTATTCCRAATTGAGAGCGCTGCCAGGGTCACAGTCACAGTAAGGAGGGGCTTATGTGGTTTGAAAAGTTTTGGATGTTGAGTGTGGTCACAACCTCTAATTACAATTTTGAAAATCAAACTTGGTGAAAGGAGGTAAAGGACCACAAGTTTAAACTTTARCTTTGAATCGGACTGCACATACAATAGGTTCTAATGCCGATCAATTTAAAGTTGTATAATAGCCGTGTATYTGCTCCTCTTAAAATAAATGTCACATCCCTAACTTCAATGTCTAATACGATTTTCTCTGTTTATCTTACACCATACACGTTAATTAATGAGGATAAGCAGTACGCTTTGACGATGAAAAGTGTTCAAATACACCTCTATATGTAGTCCTCTACTCCAGCACCCATATCCAGTATAGGGTTTTACATCCCGAAGGTTGTCTATATCCCATATATACGGATTAAAACGGAGCATATTTCACTAACGTATTTCTTTTAGCGCATTGTGATTGTAAATTATCGGTCTTTATCTTCCTTCTACACATGAAATCGGTCCAAAACACCAACTAATCTCAAATAGCGCCTCTATATAGTGTTCGACAGTACCTTTGCTTGATTCTGCCTTACTTGTTTCATTTGTTTTTTAATTTTTTCCTTTGCTGTATGCACATTGGAATAGCAGTTCAAAACAAGTGTGCTGCAAAGTATTTGAATTTCTTAACAGCTTATTTCCATGACGTCAAGCGTCTTCTTTTTCTACTTATACTTCKTGAATGGTATTCGATATTTGGTGCTGCTGTAGGTGGCGGAGTATGTGTATGCTGATATTTTGGCTTCAGCAACTTGCGTTTAGCAACCGAAGTTTAGTAATTCAGTAGAAACTTATTTCTAAACCAGTTTCYCAAAATATAAATTTAGCACAAATGGCGCGCTGTAGACTTAAAAAACACATATTTCATTCCAATTCCAGGAAATTAAATGTTGGCGAGCCCGTTCTGATACAATTATAATAATATAAAAATGTTGGAAAGGCGGGGGCAGAAATTATATCATAATAATATAAGAGAAGGAAAATGGAAGAGACTTTTTTTAAGAATCAAATAGAGAGAACATAGCTCATTTCATGAATGAATATAATTATGTATAATATTGGGTAATAATAATAATAATAATACCCAACGATTACCCTCCTCCCGCCCAACCGATTGTGATCTTAAGCTGCTCAGCTACAGAAACAAAAATTTCAACAGCCAAAATTAAGAATTAGATTAGAGTTTATAGTTTTTAAATGTTACTTGTTAAGAGTAGATAAAATATTTTTTTTTTTTAATGTTAAAGAGAGAATCTGTTAGATCAAATGTGCTGGAATGTGAATTGAAATCGTGACATATACGGCGGAATGGTTCGTTTAACTCGAAATTTGTTCTAGAAAATTTTAAAAGTAAAGGTCTAAACTGCCTGGTAGAGCGAGCGGGAATGTTAAAACTAATACAAGCTAGAGAGATGGGCTACAGACTGACCCAATGATGAGTTTTACAAGAAATATTATACCAAGCATTTCCCTACGACTAGCGAGTGTAGGGAGATTTATAAGYTTTAAACGGTTAGTGTARGRGGGAAGRTTTAAACTGGAATCCCAATGCAAATGATTTAAGGCAAAAAGTAAAAATTGTTTTTGAACGGACTCTATTTTCTGAGAATGAACTAGATAACAAGGGTTCCATACCACGGAAGCATACTCTAATATAGGYCTMACCAAAGATGTRAAAAGAATTTTCGTGGTAAGCGRATCTCTAAATTCTTTAGACCAACGTTTAATAAAACTTAGAGMAMCTTTAGCTTTAAAAACCATGGAAGATGTGTGAAGATTAAAATTGAGTTTGGGGTCCATAGTTACTCCCAAGTCTACAAAACTGCATACTTGCTCCAACCGTAAGTTTGGTATTACGTATGAAGTAGGGTCTACAGATCTACGTGAAAAGAACATCGTTGTACATTTTTTAAGATTCAATGGCAAGTCATTTCTATCACACCAAGAAACTAGGTTATTTAAGTCTGTTTGCAACTGACAACTTTCTATATTTGAGGTGAATGATTTAAAAAGTTTCACATCGTCAGCACATAATAAAACGTTTGAAAACTTAACAACAGATGATATGTCATTAATAAATAATAAGAACAGAATTGGACCAAGATGGCTACCTTGAGGAACACCTGAAGCAACATTGATTATGTCGGAAAGAGTATCGTTAAATATGATTTGTTGAATTCTATTACTAAGATAAGAAGCAACCTATTTTAGAAATATTGGTTGAAAACCAAGAAGATTAAGTTTATTCAAAAGAATTGA